GTACACCAGCTGGAAATGTTGAGAGCTTGAGTACATTGCTTTTGGAATTCTTGAGAGGCTACGAATATTGCAAAATCAGCTAGATTTGCGCCGCGTTAAGCGAGTGGACCAGAAAGCGTCTGCGCACGTATCTTTCTGGCGTGTCAAAAGTCTCAACAGTCACAGGCCATCGGGCGGGTCGCGGTCGCCATCCTCGTAATTGTCATCGTTGTTGAGCTCTCATCTCTTTTTGGCGTGTCAAAAGTGTCAACAGTCACAGGGATCAGGCGGTTAAACACAACTATACCCCTTGAAAACTCCACAAGTGAACTTTTGCAATGTGAACCTTTTGATTTTCAGCACAAAAATCGAAAAATGCATTTTTTGCTTTTTTGCGATAAGCGCAACTGTTTAACTTGTGAGTTTTTGAACACAATTTCGATGTTTTCCGGCTGCGCGAAAGCACGGCCGATGGCGAGCTTGGAGTTTCATTGGGATCTGAAGTACGCCGGTACGTCCCAAAAGACAGATCCAATTGTACCTGAAGATCTAGGATGTACTGAATAGCAATGGAGACATGAGGTGATCAAAGAATGAATCTAGTTAATTCCTACCCAAGATCTACGATGTTCCCAGAGGCCCCCAGCCAAATTGAGGATTTGAGTAGTGCTGAAAGAGAGCGACTGTCGTTCGGCTATCTCTACCTGGGAGGAATTGCAGATCTGTCTCCAATCTCCCTAGCTTTCCAACGTCAGCCAGTAAATCGCGATTTGATTCTTCCCGGTCTATGCTTAGCAGATCTTTGGGACATTCCACCAACAATACAGCCACGATTGAATTGCTAGGGACCCTAGAGTATTCAGAGTATCCTTTGACTAGTAAAGGTGCGGTAGGCATGTGAGCCGTTGCTCTTCTCATGACAGCATTGCTCATTTCTAAGGTGAGCTTGTACCGCCTCGACGTTCCTTTCGGCAGTTCCTCAACAAATGCCTGGTGCTAAGCAATCCTTGGGATCCAGTACGCGGCCTTCCGCTTGATTTCCAGGTCGTGGCATCCGCGGCAAAGGGAGGCTTCGTGTCCTTCACTTCCTTCTCCTCGGCGGACCAGCACAGCCAGCAGAGGGCCCGGAAGCCATAACATACGAATCAGTTGACCCCATCTTTCCATTGCTTGAAGCTTTCATGTATTCTGTGAACAAAATCCGTAGCATGTCGACATTGTAGACTCTCTTTGCTTCCTGATTCGTGCGTCGTTGAACAGTCGTCTAAGTTGTGCTTGCATGTTCGATTGCTGCCACGAGGTTGAACAAGTTTTCACAGAAGTACTTCTCGTTTCTCCATGTTAGGAATAAGCTTCTGCCAGAGATACACAAGTAGTCACAAAAGCAATGCCACGTGGCATGTCGGTACACCCAGTACAGGGAAAACAGGGTGGCAGTGTAAACGCTTGACGCGGCGTTTGGCGGAGCAGGCGTTTGCCTTGGCACCTTCAAGTGACCCCCACGCCCAGTACAGACTGCATTGCTCAGAGGCACTCTTGAGATTCCTTTGGACCCTTTCGACTCAAAGCCTTCCGCCAATAGCTATGCTCAAAAACGTGTGCGCATCCTTCTGCGCCTATGGTGCTTGGTTTTCTACCTTTCCGAGTCGATCAAGATCAGCTTCACTCGTGAGGAATCGACTTTGAGCTCATTTCTCTTGAAGTTTTTTGTTGGCGGCAAGCGGCTGCATAAGAGGCCTGCAAGGGAAACAGCATTGCGCGAAACCCGAACACTTGCCCGGGCTTTGCTGTCTTAGACGCAATCGGGGCCAGGAATGAGGCCCGTTGCAGACCACTAGAAGTTGTGCCCGAAGCCCATTGGACGATCCTCCCTACGCCTGCCAGTCTGAACCGTAGTGGCTACGTGCCTCAGCAGCAGCAGCAGCAGCAGCAACAGCAGCAGCAGCAGCAGCAGCAGAGCAGCACCAGCAGCGACAACAAACACAATGGTTATTTTAGCATTCGGATCACTGTCTAACCTTGGTATGAGAGCACTAATTACAAGCAAGTCATTGCTGTTCTGTCGCTGCTGTTGAGGTCAGTGTGTTTATTAGATGAGCATGATTTCCTGATTTGACTTCACAAATGTTCCTGTTTGGTTCGCTATGATGCTAAGCCAGAAACCCGAACACCTCAGTGTTTGCCTTCAGTCGGACAGCGCATCCTACATCCGTTTCTGGTTCTTGTACAGTGTTGGATGGACGCAGACAGGGCGTGTTGATCATCATTTTTGGACTTAGCCCACCCAGACTCGCAGTCTCTGTCAGGTCTTTGGATGTTGAAGTGCCTGCAAAAACCTCGTCCTGGGGGTCTGAAGAACGCCCGTGTGCCCCTTGTTTCTTTCAGATTGCCCATCTTTCCAACGCGCAGCAAGCCGAGATCCCGCTGGACAGCTCTCACCAGGGTGAAGGTCTTCGTGGTCTCGGCAGACTGGCGCCCCACTTGTGTTGCTGGTTCCTCTCCACGTGTCAATGGTGCTTATGTTAGGAAAGGAAGAGCAGAATACAGCGTGGAAGTCGGATGCTCGATATGTTAACCCCAAGTCATGTCGTCAACAAAATTGCTCTGAGTTTGGCCGTGCTCCCAACGCGGACGCCACGTTGGCAGCGATTGCTTCGAATGTTGGCGCGCCCGAGCCATAGCAAAGGGACATGTTCAGTCACTGAGTGCTAGAAGCTGCTTGCAGTGAACACATGGCTGTGGAGTTTGGCCTCTCAGTACACCAAGGCCCTACCCCGTGGGAGCCCCCGCGCTGAGCTCTGCTCAGTCATATTCTGCTTGATGAGATGCCTCTTGCTAATCTGTGCGTTCTGCTGCTGACGAGGCAGCGGTACATGCTGGCAGTTCCGCGAGGGCACGCCCTTCCTCGTGCTTCTGGTTTGCAGTTCTGTTGCCAATTGAAGGACAACAGAACTGGCATTGAGCGCCACAGCTGCGGACAAGGACCACGAAGTGCCACGAAGTGCCACGAAGTGCCACGAAGTGCCACGAAGTGCGAATTTGTTTCTCTATTGCCTCTGTTGGCGAGGAAGGGGCGCAGGTGACGTTGGAAGGTAACCATGGCCACGGCTACGCGTCAGCTGCCGCGCTCTCAACTCAGAAGTGGCCACTCGTTGTTTCAGGAACATCCGAGGTGTTGCAGCTTGATCCCGCAGCACCCTACAAGCGAGCCAAGATAAGAATCATTGCCGCTGACAAGGCAGATGTCCAGTGCCTTTTGCCGTGCCTACTTTGTCATGGCTCAGTTTGTCGTTCTTTAGAGGTGACAGTGAAGCACTACACGCTGGTCGTGGCGATGACAAACCACCGCGCATGGGCCATGTTGGAGGACTTGGCTGCATGCTCAGAAAGGGAACCCGAACCCTTTTTGCTTTGCCTCTTCCCACGTCGCAAGGTTGCAGGCTCGTGTCGCCTAGCCCTGTGTTAGAGTAGCTTTCTTGAAGTACTTGCTGATGCAAAGTATTCCCTAAGTTTTGTCCCTCTGCGCCCCAAGTGCTCGTGTCATTTCAGATTTGGCGCAGTCGTGCTGAGGTGGTTCCTGGTTGCGAAGGAGGGCTCATGCCGAAGTTTGAAGTGGACGCCGATGCCTTGCTGAGCCTCTGAGCCTCTGAGCCTTGCGTCGCACTTTGCCGTCGTTGCCTGTTTGCGTTCCAGGTTTTCCACTACCGATGTCTGCTCTCCAATGAAGTGGAGACCCTGAAGGCCGCAGATTCACAGCTGTCGTAGTTGCAGCCGCTTCAGAACGTTGGCTCCTTGACAGGTAATTCCAAGGGTGATGTGGATGCCCTTCGACCAGAAGTTGCAAATTCACGTCAAGGCGCCTGGGCAGCCTGGGCAGCCTGGGCCTACGTTTGAAGCTGCGGAGCTTGTCAGGGCAAAAAGTGGAAGCAAGCAACCCAGCTTCTCGCAATCTCGCAAACTGCAGCAATCAAAAGTTTCTCTCTGTGGCTAGAAGCGGCAACGTGTTTCAGCAGCCGCTGGGTGATGATGGAAAGGCGGAGGCGCGTGAAATCGAAGTGCAACACGCAGAAATCTGCTGCAAGCTTGCCCAGGTTGACATCAGGGTAACAGCTTCGGATCTCAAGCACAAGGCATTGATCGATACAGCAACAACATGGCTGTTGAAATCCGGTGCAGGAGACATACCACATTTCTGCACAAGGCTCTCCCTTGGAAGAGCTCCGCAGCCCAGACTCGAAGCTGTGGAGGTTTCTTGGAGTTTGTTTTTTGTTTCTGATTCCAGGCGTGGCCGACTCTTCACAACGGAAGGGCCGCCACCCCAGGAGCCGCCCACCACGGTCCCAGTGACGCCTCTGCCAGCTGCCCAGACGAATCGAATTGAATCCAGGAAGAGAAGGGAAAGCAACTCGTTCAGGCCAGCTTACCGCTACAGTACCATGTCTCCAGAGCCTCCGAAGCCGAAGCTGGCCGTTGCAACGTGCGCCGCACGTAGCTGTTCGTCAGTTCGGCTTCCGTCCATCATCTAAGCATTCGTACCGCTAGTACCGCTATGAGGTCCACGACTACACGCCTGGAGCTGTCAGGGGCAGGAACTGGGCCTCGCAATTGCTATTGACGCTGTAAGGCACTGCGCGCAAGCCTCATCCAACACAGACGCGCTGGCCTTGGCTTGGCATTGCTAGTCGCTGCTAGTCAGCTTGCTGTCAAGCAATATTGAATTTCTGGCTGCTAAGTTTTTCTAGGGTTTGCTCAGGCCGAACATTCCCGACTTCGGCTTTCGAATCCACTTCCCCGTTCCACACCACATGCCTGGCTTGCCTTTTGCAGGTAGGCGGGCATTCCGCCAATGTAGTGGAACAGCAACAGGAGTAGTTACATGAATACGGGCGCACTGTCCAGGGTTTCTGCCCTCCACGGCCGCCGAGTTTGCGAACATTGCTGGGGTTCGCTGAAGCTTTGAAGCTCATAATTAGTCATTTGTTCAAAACGTGAGACGCTTTTGGAAGGTTCTCGCAGCAGTTGTGTCAGTCGTAGCTTTGCTTGCCTCGCAAGAGCTGATGCCAGGCTCTGAGCCCACAAAAAAAGTAGTCTGGCCCTCCGGCCCTGGCCACTCTCCAACGTTTGAGGTCTTTCATGCTCCTGCTCAAGGACACATGTGACATCACATGTGCCTATCTTTAGCTTCTAGCCGCTCTTGCCTTGGTGGCAGTTCGCAAGGAGCTTCAGTTTGTGGCAGTTTCGCACGGAGTTGCAGGCCAGTCTGAGTCAGCTTGAGTGAGCTGCAGTAAGCAGTGGCTGGTTCCTGGCAGATACTAGGCAACTCGTACTATGCCCTTGTTTCACAGCCCTTCCGAGTCTTTCTGCTTCAGGCAAGAGGGCGAGTTTTGTGGTGGTTTTAATAGGGCAAGTTGAAGTTGATGTCAGGTGGACTGGCCAGGTCTGGACATCTGTCTTGTGGAGGAGAGTGGAGAAATCAAACGTCCTCAAGAATTTCCCCGACGCCACGAAACGCCACCAAGCGCCACGAAGGACCTCCAGAAGGGGCAGAAGCAGGCACAGACGACGACACCGCACTGCGTGCCAGTGCCACAGCAGAAGGCGGGTCAGGGAGATCAGGGCGTCAGTGCCCTCGGATCAGTTTTCAGTTTTCAGGCTGCCAAATTGACGGTGCTGTGGCCTTGGCCTTATGCTTTTTTGGCCTCCAGCGCATTTCTGCACCCCGCTACCGTCCGAGGCTCGCCTTGCTGTGTGGCACCGAGTTCTGCATCATTGGCTGCTGCCATTGGCTGCTGCCATTGGCTGCTGCATAGCGCACTGCTTCAGCGTCTCTGAGGCCTCTGCAGCTGTTGCTGCTAGCCATTGGCTGGCTTGAGGCAAAAAAAAGCCCAAATTCTTTAAGAAGAGTCTGAAGTTTAGGAACGTGCCGTTGGAAGGCGAGTCGCGAGGAGGCCTTGGCAAGCAAGAGCCACCTGGGCGCCTTGGGCGTGCTTCGGGCTGAGGAAGGCTGCGAGTAGAAAGGCAAAGAAGAAAGCCTTTCTTCTGTCCTCCCCTCTTTCTGAGCAAAGTAAGAAGTGAGGCGCGGCCTTCGACTGAAGCTGCTCCCGCTGGCCGTCTCCTCGGTGCCAGCACGAACTCTCACGCTGATCTCACAGAACTGAGTCGTTCTGAGTCGTCCTTCGAGGTCTTGGTGTGTCTGGATGTCAGCTTGCTCGGCAGAGCCCCGAGAGTGGTCAAAGTGGCAAAGCGCTGCTGTGCTACGAGCTATGATGAACTGCGGCTCAGCGGTTCAAGCCTCAAGCCTCAAGCTGCTTTGAGGTTTCGTGGATGCATCCGCCGCAGTGCTCTTTCTTCCTGACACCGCGGGCCTCAAGGCAGAGATAGCACTTTTCTCTGAACTGTGGTAGCATGTGGTAGCTTTTCTTGATCTTTTCTTGCACGGGTTTTGGGGCCAAAGGTCACCCTGCGAGCGCAGTCCTTTGTGTTCTCCCTCTCCACGCCGCTCGAAGGAAGAAGAGTTGCAGAAAGATGAGAGAATGAATGAATTTTGAAGTTTCTTTGAGGCTTCGTGTGTTGGCCTCTTCGTCTTCGTTCTTTCTCCTCCTTTTCAATTTCGCGCAGCTGGCCCGGCTGCGGTGTTCGAAGCTCCTGGCCTGGAGTCCAAGCCTGGGACGCTTCGCGGACACCACCACGCTCGCGGCCCGAGCACTCAGCTTGGAGAGAGAGCTTGGGTTGTGTGTGTGTGTGTGTGATGTGTGTGTGTGTGTTTAAAGAAAGAAGTAAAATTAGAGACGTAGAGAGAAGTGGGAGATATGCGAAGAGTGAGAGAGGTTTGTGAGGAGGTTTCTCAGAGGTCGGCGCTGCTTTCCCTCCTTGTTCTTCAGGTCACCCTGCGGGACTCGGCCTATCCTCGCCTGGGCCCCGTGAAATCCAGCCGGGTCAGCCGGGCTCGGTGCAACGACCGGCCAAAAAAAGAATGCCGAAAGGAACCACGCACGAAGACAGGATGATGACACCAGGAGATGGCATGAGGCATGACTGTTACAAGAGTTCCCGGGCTCAACATGGCGCGACGCAGGAAGAGAAGGGTCGCAGGGTCCAGACGTACTGTTGAACTATACCCACACTACGTCACGCCGTATAGGCCCCATATAAAGGGCTTCAGGCATGAAGTCCTCACAAGCCTTGAGATGTTTGGAGCTTCACTCTATCAATCCTGTTGGGGTCCCACATTCATTTGCCCAACTCTGGGCGGAGTAATTGTGCTTGGCTGGGCCCTGTGCAAGGTTGTTCTGGGGTAAGCCAAGTGGAATGCTTCCTCTTGTGAACAACGAGATTTCACATTCTGCAGCGGCTAGCACACGCTACATCTTACTTCAGCGACCGGCCCTGCACCAATTGCTTTTGGAACGTGGGTCTTGGCACATGTGCGCAGGTTTGTGGGGATATCCGGTGATGTCACCTTTGCCGATAGCGACTTACCTGAGATCCTATGAGCGTAGAGCACTCTGTGCAAACCCGAAGGCCCGAAGGGTTGGCGCCAGCACTTTATCCGGAAAGCACCTCAGAGCGGGCATAGCACGATAGCGCGTTGGGGCAGCGACACACCGAGCACCTGGCAGAACACATGGCGCATGATGGAGCAGCATTTAGGTCGACAGCTGCTGACGCAGGGAAAAATGGCCAGCTCTCCTGATTAAAGAACACAGGATCCATGATGACATGCTTGGAGCACTGCAGCACCTTGGCTACAAGACGACTGAAGAGCTGAAGGCCGTCTGTAGCAAGAGCTCAAGCGAGAGGTTCCGAAACCTCGGGGCAAAGATTTGCTCCAGTGGCTGATGGAGGAGAGAGGGTGGACTTGGAGATGCACTGGAGGAGAAACGGCAAATCGAGAGGCATCCGTACCCGATTACCAGAAATTCAACGCGGGGTCGTCACCTCTGCACCAGATGAAGGATCAATAAGCAATTCGAGCTTCTGGACCCTTGAGCCGCGAGGGCACAAGCACAACTCCAGCGCGAGAAGCACATACTTCACCGCAACGTATGAGAGGCATGCAGTTCATGGAATTATCATCGCGCCCCGGCTTCCGGCTTCATCCTTCTGCGGACGACAAGCACACGTCACAGTGCGCCGCATGCGCCACCATCCAGGGACCCGCCAAGCTCCAATCAGGACCAGGCCCTTTCATGTGACAAGGTGTGGAGCTTCACCTATGTCCAAGACCCGCCGCACCGCCTCCCACGACGCTCCTGAACATGCCTCGTGCGTCTTTTGAAGGGTGAGAGTTTGTAGTTGGGACTGTAGGCGCCTGCTGAGGCCCGGCTGCAACGCCTTGGGCGGCGCTCGCCGAGGCCTGCGATGCGCTGACGGAGCTCCGAGCCGCCGCCAGAAACTTGCGGCATTTGCGGCAGAGCCTGTGCAGAGAGACACAATCGTTTCTCTCTTTCTGAGGTGCCGATTTGTGGTCCTGACAGGGAGGTGATCCACTTGACAGGCTGAAGGGCAGCGAGTTTGCTGGGAGGGGTTCTTTCTTGTGCGTTGTTTGGTGCGGTGTTGCGTGCAGATACTTGGCGATTTGGTTCCAGAAGAGCCCAGAAGAAGCGGCCGCGTCCTTAGCGCCGTCCCTCGGCTAGTCTTTGCCTCATGAAGCTGAGGCGCCAAGGCTACGACGGCTGTCTCTTTGCAGCCGGAACCTGGAGGGAAACTGTTGTTTGATTTTATTGTGTGTTTCCTCCTTTTTCTTAGGTCTTGCCCCCGGAGGAGGCCTTGCTCGCTCGGGAGATCTTCTCTCCGACAGCGACAGGGTCCCCTGTGAAAGACAGTTCTGACAGATCTCACGCGTCACACGGTGGCCACGTTGCCAGAAGCTCCACCTCCCGATCTGCACGGGAAATGCCGCGCGCAGACATCGAAGAAGAGTTAGACCGTGCCTCGGCAAAAGCAAAGGAAGACAACACCCAGAACTACACCGAAAGCACACACTTGAAGACTTGTGCAGGTCCCCAACTCAGGTATGTTCAACCTTGTTGCCTGGTTATCCACCAGTTTGCTGGCGAAACTCTGTTGTGTTGCGTGTAAGCGTTGAAAATCCTTGCTCCGAGGGATCCCCAGGCTCATATGCAATCACTTGCTGGTGAACAGGTCCGAGATGGTCCGACTCTTGCACCGCATAATCCGGATAGGCCTCAAACAAGGTGCGCGCTCCGAATGTGTAAATCTGCAGGTGCGTGAGATAGGCGTCCCCATCTTATGTCACCAGCCACTCAGAGAGGTCTTTGTTAGCATGGGCTCTCTCAGGGCCTCCCATGCCCCCTGCTCTACCTACAGCTCTTGGTAACAGAGTTGGACACACACACCCCCTTCCGAACGAAGGGTAGGCACGTTGCATACAAAGGATTACGTACCGAAGCCGCTGGAACAAGCTAAAGTCCATGCTAAAGACTCAGCGCAATACAATGAATGTGAAGAATGCTATGTTTGCAAAGGTGATTGTAAGGTACTGCGGCGGCAGCTGCAGATTTGT